GAGAGGAAGGGAGGGGGAGAGACAGAGAGACATCGAAGTGAGAGAGACACATCCATTGGTTGCCTTCCGGCCAGGGTTGGGGATCCAGTTACTACCTGCCCTTGATGCCCTTGACCTGAATGGAACCCGGGATCCTTCAGGATGCTCTATCCACCGAGACAAATGGGCTAGGCTAGGGCATGTAACTTTAAATTTTTTTACTTACTACACCAGTTGTTGTAAGGTTCAAGTGATCATAGCAAATGCTGTAGAAAAACAACATATTATTTGTAGTTAATCACTTGGCTTTTCTTCCATTAATTAGAAATTATCTGTTGAGTGCTTTTTCTAAAAGGTGGATAGAAAGTGGGCTTTAAAAATTTAAGTACTTTAAGTTATGTAGTTGACATTTCCAAGAATATAAGGCTAATAAAAATTTTAAGTTGACCAAAACAATGAATATAGCGATGTGTAAAATTATTAAATGGTAGTACTAATATTTTGCTTATCTGAGAAAATTGGTACTAGGAAAAGCTTAAGGCGAATCTGCTTAAAACAGGCATTATAATTTTATAAGTAGTGGGAGAGGAAAGTGGATTTAAACTTTTATAACAGTTTTAGTTATATTTTGCAAAAATTGCAAATGTGCACTGTTTTGTGGAATGCATCAGATGTGAAAAGGTATGATGGTACCACATGGCATCATTGTACTTCAAATCCTGCTTTTTAAATCATGCTATTTTGAGGAACTCATTGGGCCATTATCTTTGTGGTTTTTCTTTTCTTCAATTGTTAACTGGTCTAATTGTGCCACATCCTCATTTGTGGATGGCTTTGCAGTGATTTGGCTATTTTCCTATTACTTTTATTGACTTTATTGACTTAGTAAATATCCTCAGTTTCATTTTGCTGTTGATAAAGCTTTTTCTTGGAACAGAACTGCCAAATGCTGACATCTCTAAATGCTTCTCAGACTTTAATGTGCATGGGAATCATCTGAACTCTAACAAGCCCTAGGTGATAACTCATGCTGCCCTTCTGCCCAGAACACAGATCACTGCTATCCAAGAGAAATAAATGCCAGTCATCTATGTAAGTTTGAAGATTTAAGTAGCTACATGATAAAAGTGGGGAAAAAAACTGCAAGTGAAAATGATAAATTTATCTTTTTATCATGTAATCAATATGAACTTATTAATGATTTTTTAAATACTAATTCTTTTTTTCAAACTAAGTCTTCGAAATCTCATGTGTACTTGACAGCACATCAAGTTTGGATTAGTCACACATCAAATGCTCAATAGCCACATTTGGCTAATGGCTGCTGTATTGAACAGCACAGGCCTGGAGTCTAGAATCATTCTAGATCAATGCTATTTTCAGTGTATTTTTTTTGGATTGGCCCCATGAGCAACCTTTGGGAATTTGTTAGAAATGTAAATTTTGGGTCCCTACCTCATACCTCCTCTCTTTAGAATATCTGGGTTTCAGTAACTTGTGTTTTGAAAGCTACAGGATATGCTACACAATGTATATGTGGTATTCTGAATGGGATCCTCCAACAGAAAAAAGTTTAATCAGGAAGAACTAAGGAAATCTGAATAAAGTATCAACATTATTATCAGTAATCATTGAATATGACAAATACACCATACCAACATAAGATAGTAGGGGAAATTGTAGACAGGGTATATGGGAACTCTCTGTACCATCTTTGCAATATTTCTGTAAATTTGAAACAGCAAAAATAAAGGTTTTTTGTTGTTTGTTTTTTAAGCAGCTCTCCAGGAGATTCCATTGTTTACTAAAATTTTGAGGAGCAGTGATGTAGATCACTAATATGACCTACACCAGTGGTCGGCAAGCTCATTAGTCAACAGAGCCAAATATCAACAGTACAACGATTGAAATTTCTTTTGAGAGCCAAATTTTTTAAACTTAAACTACATAGGTAGGTACATTGTTATTAACTTAATTAGGGTACTCCTAAGGCTTAGGAAAAGCCACACCAAGGGGCCAAAGAGCCGCTTGTGGCTTGCGAGCCGCAGTTTGCCGACCACGGATAACTTCAACTTGCGTGGGCAGAATGAAGGCTAGTATTAGGTCTGGTAGGGTAATAATAACAGTATTTTTGTAATAAGAGCTAAAACTTATAAAGCACTTACTATGTGCCAGGCATTATGGCATGTGCTTTACACATATCCACACTAAATCTCCCAGTATGTGGACTGTCCTATTAAGCTTCCTTTTACAAATGGAAAAAAAACTGATGCTGAGAGAGGTTCAGTGACTTAGGTCACATAGCTAGCAAGAGGCAGAGGCAGGGATTTTTGAGGAGAGACTAATTTTATAATCGATCAGTTCATTTGTGAGTATTTTTCTACTCTCACAAATTTTGCTTCTTTGAGTAAGCAACAATTAGTGTGGATACTCTGTATCATTCCCTGTAGTTTATAAAGTACTTTTTTTCTTTTCATTCTCACAAGGATCTTGTGAGGTTTGTATTTTTTTCCTTTGTTTTTCAAATAAGTTAGGATGCTCAGGGTCTGAGAGCTGATAGATGGCAAATCCTCGATATAAATTTCAGGCCTCTGACACTAAGTTCTGTGCTTTTTCCCTTTACTGAAAGAGAATTTAGAATATATTTTGAAGTTAGAGGGATATTTTTAAAATTTTGCTGAAAATAACCTGTATTTGTATTTGGTAAGGAGAACACCAACTGAAACTCTCATTCCCTGGTGGGAATGTAGAATGATACAGCCACTTTGGAAAACATTTTGGCAATCTATATCTATCTATTATAAAGGGAAAATAGCAATATTAAAATATTTTCTCTAATTAATTCCCTTTTAATGTGCACGAATTTCATGCACCAGGCCAGCAGTATATATATTGCAAATAGACCAAACGGCAGAACAACCAAACAACCGGCACTATGATGTGCGCTGACCACCAGGGGGTGCGTGCGGAACATGGCGGGAGTGGGCAGCAGGCGGCTATTGTTGCTTACTCAAAGAAGCAAAATTTGTGAGAGTAAAAAAACTCACAAATGAACTGATCGATTATAAAATTACTCTCTCCTCAAAAATCCCTGCCTCTGCCTCTTGCTAGCTATGTGACCTAAGTCACTGAACCTCTCTGAGCATCAGTTTTTTTTCTTCCATTTATAAAAAGCTTATTAATAGAACAGTCCACATGCTGGGAGAATTAGAGTAGATATCTGTAAAGCATGTGGCATAATGCCTGGCACATGGTTAAGTACTTTATAAGTTTTAGCTCTTATTACAAAAATACTGTTATTATTACCCAACCAGACCTAACACCATTCTAGTAGACGGATAGTGATATCTAGAAATTTTCATTTTCATTATAAGGGTTTTGTTTAACAGCTTGATTGAGGTATAATTGCTGTATAATTAACTGTGCATATTTAAGTGTGTAATTTGATGAGTTTTCATATATGTATATACCTGTGAACTAGATACCATTATCACCACTATTAAGATAATGAATATATTTTTCACCTCCCCTCACAAAAAAAATTTCTTGAGCCTCTTTGTTATCTGCTTTCTGTCACTATAGATTAGTTTGTATTTTCTAGAATTTTATGCAGATAGAATCTTTAAAGTATGCACTCTTGTTTGGATTTTTTTCATTCAGCAAATTGTTTTGAGATTCATCCAGTGTGTGCATCAGTAGTTCATTCCTTTTTATTGTGATAGACCCATGTGTGGATATACTACAACTAGTGTATCCACTTACCTGTTGATGGACATTTGGGTTGTTCCCAATTTGGGGCTATCTATATTATAAAAATCCAGTGGCCCTAACGCTGTAACAACCAAGACCAGTGCGGGAGGGCGGGGCTGCACGTGCGGGTGGGCGGGTTGCACAGGTGGGCTGGGCTGCGTGATTTCGTGTGCTGGGCTTCTAGTAAATAAAGCTGTTGTGAACATTCACATATAGATCTTTGTGTTATCATGTGTTTTCATTTCTTTTGGGTAAATAGCTAGGAGTAGAATCCCTGGATCATATAGTAGATAAATGTTAAACATTTTTCCAAAGTGCTTTTACTATTTTACATCTCTACCAGCAGTGGGTAAGTTCTAGTTGCTCCACATTCTCAGAACCACTGGTGTGATCAGTCTTTTAAATTTTAGCCATTCTAATAGTATGTATTCTTTGTGGTTTTGATTTGCATTTTCCTGATGACTAAAGATTTTGGGCACCTTTTTATGGGCTTATTTACCATCTGTCTATCTTCTTTGGATAAGTGTCTGTTTATATCTTTTGCTGTTTTTGTTGGGTTATTTGTGTTACTGACTTTGTACAATTCTTTATATATTCTAGATATGAGTTTGTTGGAGATATGTGTTCATGAGGGATAATGAGCTATAGTTTTTTTTTCTTACAAGGTCTTTGGTTTTGACATGACGGTAATGCTGATCTCATAGAATGAGTTGGGATGCTTTCCCTTTTTTAGTTTTCTTTGAGAAGTTTGTACAGAGTTTACTTTTTTTTTTTTCCTTACATTTTTGGTAAAATCACTAGTGAAGACATCTGGGCCAGGAGTTTTCTTTGTGGGAAGATTTTAAAAGACAGATTCAAGCCTTTTGCAGCCAACGTAGAAGCATCAATGGTCAAAATGAAGTTCAGTCTCTTTGTGACTTCTTTTTTTTTTTAAATTAAATCTTTATTGTTCAGGTTACATTTGTTCCTCTTTTTTTCCCCCCCATAACTCCCCTCCTCCCAGTTCCCACCCCACCCTCCGCCCTCACTCCCCACCCCCTGTCCTCATCCATAGGTGCACGATTTTTGTCCAGTTTCTTCCCGCATCTCCCATTCCCCTTTCCCCGCCAAGAATAGTCAGTCCATTCCCTTTCTATGTCCCTGATTCATTATAATCACCAGTTCATTCTGTACATCAGATTATTTATTCACTTGATTCTTAGATTCACTTGTTGATAGATGCATGTTTGTTGTTCACAATTTGTATCTTTACCTTTTTCTTCTTCCTCTTCTTAAAGGATACCTTTCAGCATTTCGTATAATACTGGTTTAGTGGTGATGAACTCCTTTAGCTTTTCCTTATCTGTGAAGCTCTTTATCTGACCTTCAATTCTGAATGATAGCTTTGCTGGATAAAGTAATCTTGGTTGTAGGTTCTTGGTATTCATCACTTTGAATATTTCTTGCCATTCCCTTCTGGCCTGCCAAGTTTCTGTTGAGAAATCAGCTGACAGTCGTATGGGTATTCCCTTGTAGGTAATTGAGTCTCTTTCTCTTGCTGCTTTTAAGATTCTCTCTTTGTCTTTTGCTCTTGGCATTTTAATTATGATGTGTCTTGGTGTGGTCCTCTTTGGATTCCTTTTGTTTGGGGTTCTCTGCGCTTCTTGGACCTGTAAGTCCATTTCTTTCACCAGGTGGGGGAAGTTTTCTGCCATTATTTCTTCAAATAGGTTTTCAATATCTTGCTGTCTCTCATCTTCTGGCACCCCAATTATTCTGATGTTTGTACGCTTGAAGCTGTCCCAGAGGCTCCTTACACTATCTTCGTATTTTCGGATTCTTTTTTCATTTTGCTTTTCCGGTTGGGTGTTTTTTGCTTCTTCGCATTTCAAATCTTTGACTTGATTCTTGCGCTCCTCTGGTCTGCTATTGGGTGTCTGTATAATATTCTTTATTTCAGTCCGTGTATGCTTAATTTCTAGTTGGTTCTTTATCATAGCATCGAGGGTCTCATTAGTTTTCGTGACTCTCTCCTCAAGTTTATTGACAGCTTCTAGCACATTTTTGCAAGCCCTCAAAATTGCGATTTTTAGCTCTATATCCTCCATTTCTGTCATGTTTTTTTGTCTCCGCATTTTTTATGCTTTCTTGGTGCACCCCCTAGTGGTCTTTGTGCGCAGTCTTGTTCTAGTTGAGCCTTGATTGTTGTAGTTAATACTAGAGGGATTTGACCACCAGGCCGACTGGCTGTGTGAATCAGCTGTGTCTGCCGCGGAAAACTTCTGTCCTCTGGGGAGGTGCTAATCTAGCCTTTGCCTGAGGCGATCCGGCAAATGGCTCTGCGCAGGGCTTGGGCGGGGCGG